AGTATTATTATTATTTATTATTATTTATTGTATTAATTATTTAATATTTCGATATTTAGAAGTATGAGCATGGCATGGCAGTACTGCACAGACATATAATGGCAGGCCCCCCAAGAAAAAAATTGGCCCCCTGAGCAAAAAGTTGTTAGCTACGGGGCTGCCCCTAAGGTAGGGCGTGTAGCATGGAATGCTGTTTGACAGCTTTCTGTTGTACAGACTTAGAGCAAGCACACACACACCTTGGTGGCAGGAACACAGACAGGGCACTTAGCAAAACTGGGCAAGCACTTGCCAGGTAAACACCACAGGGAGAGCCAAGTCCACACTCCGTGGCTGACCTCTCCCAGATTTCGGCCCCAACAGATACACCAGCTCCTCTGCCAGCATCCCAAGAGACAGCCACACATACACAGGTAAGTGCAGGCCCTCCCAGCCCACAACCCCCCCTGGCGAGCAACAGTGGCCACAAGCCACAGTGGATATCCCCCCAACCCAGCAGCTGTGGGGTCCAGCAGTGGTCCACCAAGGGCACATGGCAGGGGGACAGATGTGTCTGTAATTTAAAGTACCCTCATGGATCACTTAGAATCACAAATACCAAAGCAAGCTGGTTTGTACCAAAATATACCTGGACAGAGAGGGCTTGCTGTTAAAATCTGAAACTAAATGCATTTTACAATTGACCCATCAGATTCATGTGCACTTATTTATTTACATATATAACCCACTAATTAAATTGCTGTTCAGGAATGGCAAACCATCCATTTTAGAAGGACATGAGTTCAAGATAGGGCATTAAACAAACTACTTGATGCATCCATAAGATAGAAGGGATTTGAACTGGTATAACAGTTCACTCCAACTGATTTCAGAAAAAGCCTGATAATTGAATCTAGTGTCCCGCTACTCTGTTTAATGGTTTTCATCATTTTCATTCTAACTCACAGGGTCACTCTTTACTCTAGCATAATCCTTTTTTCCAAGTAATCCATGTATAAAATTCATAGCAAACGTCTCACCTTTATGTCTCGATGCACTATTTGATTATCATGGAGATATTTTAATCCTTCAAGAATCTGTTTGGTATAAAAACCAATAGTCTGCTCATTATCTTTTAATGGCCCCCATTTTGATCTCAGAAGAGCAGAAAGGCTACCTGTGGAAAAATTGTCAATAAAAATGAAATGATCACCACCACCACTACTTAATTCCTAACAGTTTCTACAACTTCATTCAGACATCGCAGGCAAATGGCAATCTATCCACTGAAGGAACCTGAAATATCTACACTAATCCACTCTCTTCCTACTCTTCTCATACCAAGACTGAATCGAGTTCCTGGCTTTGGAACCTTTCAGTCTAACCAAAAGTAGTTGTGATATCCAAATTCAAACATTTTTTTTTAAATCAGGGTTTGTTTCTTGCCCACAGACTTGGATTTTAAGCCAGAATTATACTGTTTAGAGTTCCTCCTGCACAAGCTTCTTGTGAGCTTCTTACCTAAATTGACTTTCCCAAAATCGACTGGCCCTCCTGGACCCCAAAGATGCCAGGCTGGCTATAACCAGGGCCAGGGCCTTTTCAGTGGCAGCTCCATACTGGTGGAATGAGCTCCTGGAAGAGATGAAAGCCCTGCAGGACCTTTTACAGTTCCGCAGGGGCTGCAAGACGGAGTTCTTCCACCAGGCCTTCAATCAAGGAGCCACATCAAACACCTGAAGAGTGAGCCCTGTGCCCTGGCCTTACCACCTACAGTCTGTGCCCGCTGCACAAATAAACTGAATAAGTTGAGCTGGCTTGAAAATACCAACATGACTGTTATTGCCACCTTAAGTAGTACTATGAATATGAGATCTGCTGTTATAGCACTTTATTAGACCACTGTTCTAGCACTTTATGATAACTTGATAATTGGATTGTTTATGATTGTTTTATGACTGGTTTTAATTGTACTTATATGTGGATTTTTTATGTAAGCCACCCTGAGTTTGCTTCAATTGGGAGGGCGGGGTATAAATCAAATAAATAAATATATAAATATTCCCTCATTTTTTTTAAAGTTAAGCATTAGTAAATCCAATAAGTGTGAAGACTGGGGTACCACTACAGCTGCAGTCCACAACTCACCAAGAAGACTGGGGAGAAAGGAGCATTTTCATTTAGTGGATCCATTTTTTCCCCGTGCACAAATCAGAAACCAAAAGGGAGGATGTATTCTTGGTTGAAGCAAGATAGTGTTTAGATATATTAAGTGTGCTCATACCTGTTGCCACAGGCAGGGGTCTTTTCATAGAAAAAGAGCTACAGGAGCTCATTAGCATATGGTATGCTAATGAGCGACTAGGCTATTAGCATAATGGATCATTAGCATATGCAACGCCCCCTGACATCACCAGAAGTGATGTCAGAAGGGGAAGCAAAAGGGGGGGGAGGCATCTTCAAAAGCCTCCCGTTCCTTTCCCCAGTGGGGGGGGGGAGCAAAGAGAGAAGGGGTTTTAAACTTTAAACCCCTTCTCACTAGAGTTGGGCCGCAGAAGGAGGAAAGAAGGAAGGAAAGAGAGAGAGAGAGTAGAGAGAAGGAACGAAGAAAGGAAAGA